AAGGAAAGGAAGGAAGGAAAGGAAGGAAGGAAGGAAGGAAGGAATGAGGGAGGGAAGGAAGGAAAGAAGGAAGGAAGGAAGGAAGGAAGGAAGGAAGGAAGGAAGGAAGGAAGGAAGGAAAGAAAGAAAGAAAAGACAGATGAAGAGGGAAGGAGGGAGCAATAAAGGAAAGAAGGGAGGAAGGAAAAGACAGATGAAGAGGAGAGGAGGGAGGAGAGAAAGAGGAAGGAAGGGAGAAAAGAAAAAAACAGATGGAAAGCGACGGAGGAAGAAAGGATTTGAGTAGCAAATTTAGGAACATCACTTTTACATTAAAGACTGGGGACCTGCTAATGAAATAGACAAAAATGAGTTATATGATCCAAAGTATTAGAAAAAAAACTGCATTTGTTCAGTTCAGCTCAAGTGGTGATTCCTAGCTCATCCTGAGCCATTGTGAAAGAAGTTGAGCAAGGTCAAATGTGATTTACACTTCAATGGAAATCCACTAATGAGCAAATGGTTAAGAATGTTCCTTTTCCATTCAGAATTAAGTCAGAGTGTGTTGATTCTGAGGCACATGTTATCCAGTGTCGCAATGGATACAGTCTTGGATTAAGGACTTTCTTGTTTAAACCTCAAGTAGAGTCTTGCACAAGAGCAATACTTATTCTGGCACCACTGACTATTCCCCTTGATAAATTGTTTGAATAGAAAAAGAGGCATTTGCTACAAACTACAGCTTGGAGATTGTGTGATCTTGAGCAAAACTTGCTTCTAACATCAACAATCTGTTGACAGAAGCAACCTCGGTCAAAATTGTTCGGAATCCTTTCTCATTTTCCTATTATTTGCAATTAACAGATTACTTGGGGGCTCTATTTATACAACTTTCTGAACCTGATTCATGAATTAACCTACACAGGTTGCACAAGAAACTAAATTAGAGGCTCACCAAAAAGGTTGGGTTTCCATAACACTTTAAGCCACGAAGAAACCAAATCAGGGTTACCACTAACCTTAGCATGTTGGGTGGATGAGTTACGAGGTCTTAAGCTTGCATTAACAAGGCCAATAAGTTCCCCCAATTCCTTCTCTCCTTCCATCAGCAATTGGAAAAAACAGTTGAGCACTTGGACTCCGAAGTCAAGTCACTACTCAACGATGTCAGTGAAACTGCCTGGACGAAGCCGCTTGCTCCTGGGACCCCTCTGATAGATCTCTTCGGAGGTAAGAAGTGGAGCTGAGCTTGTTGAATGTCACCACCCAATCAACGAGTAGAGAAATGGAGTGTATGAGTTCTTAGAAGTTCTCCAACTATTTTGAAGGCACGATTATTCCCTTTTTAGGAGCCTTGCTACTGAAAATGCCCTCTGGGAGGGTTCCACCAATGTGTTGAGGGTCACGTAGGATGGATTTGAAATATGGGTTTTGTAGTACTGCTGCACTGGCAAACTAACATGGTTTTACCCAGGGGTGGGATTCTCCCAATTCGGACAAGTTCGGATGAACCCCTAGCTCCGATGATCAGCTGGCAAAGAACCGGTTCTCTCTGATAATTATATGGGCCTGCCCACCCCTGCGCTGTACTTACCTATATCCTCTCAGCTGATTTGCGTGACCGAACAGATTGCCATTCCTCAGCTGTGTTACTCCCCAGTAGTAACATAGCAGATAAGGTTTATTTGGAAAGCTGTTCACACGAAGCACATGATCACCGAACCAGTTGTTACACCAGCAGCCTCCCACCACTGGGTTTACCCAGAGGCACTTTCCAAAAAGCAACTTTGTTTTTTTTTCTTGAAAAGGTTTCACTTCTCATCCAAGAAGCGTCTTCAGTTCACTGAACCTCCTACAAGTTGAAGCTTTTTCACTTCAGTACAGAAGACGCTTCTTGGATGAGAAGCAAAACATCTTCAAGGGAAAAAAAACCAAGTCCAGTTGCCTTTTGGAAAAACACCTTCAGGACAACCATGACCTGGATGACTGAGTATCTTCCATAAACCTGGGTTTACCTTCTTTGATTTAGCTCACATTTTAAATATAACCTTGCAAGAATGGAATGTTAAGTCCATCCTCAGTGGACCTCGGTGTCTTCCCTAGAGATGAAAAGGAAGTCAAGGAGGCCGCAGAATGTGGAACAGAATCATGTAAAATGAAAGAGGGATGTACACAACATTTAAATACATCAACCTTAAGCTAAATGCAGCTAGGAATATCCTGGCACCATTAGATACAGGGATGGGAACGTAAGAATAGCTCCTTCACTCCATGAATCAAATGTCCTTTGATGAATAGATAGCTGACTTTGGGCCCATAGCTTAAGCTGGGTAATATCTTAAACATCAAAGAGCTGTGATGGTGCAGCAATTAGAATGCAGTATTGCAGGCTAAGTCTGCCCACTGCCAGGAGTTCGATTCCCTCAATCCTGAGTCAATGTTGACCCATCCTTCCTTCCTTTTGAGGTCAGTAAAATGAGGACCCAGATTGTTGGGGGCAAGGTTCTGACTCTGTAAACCACTTAGAGAGGGTTGTGAATGATATATAAGCCTAAGTGCTACTGCTATCTTCCTTCCTTCCTTCCTTCCTTCCTTCCTTCCTTCCTTCC